GCACTGGAGAGTCAGCTGTCATTGTCTCACCGGGGAATCGTGATGACAAGTGTGCAGCAAGCAGCAGAGTGCACAAAGCGGTTGGGGTACCCCTGCCCGTAACCTTTCCACGGGTACTTGCATCACAAATCACCTGAGCTATGCGGTCTATGCTAACCTACGTGGTCGCAGTTGACCACATGGTCAGGAATTCGTCATGTGACACATCAGTCCCGGAGGGGTTGACCTGCTGCTGATGTGCAATGTCTCGAAGCAAAACACACAGAGGAGCGCCGCCAGCGTGGGTTGTTACAGGTGTATAGAGGTGGGTCCTAAGGGTGAGGCCTGCATGGTTGTTCACAAAATGGTATGGCCCATCTGGGGCAGCTGAGGGGCGACGGTGAGAGGAATAAAATGACCACTAGCTCAAGTGGCCCTCAGGCAACGAGGACCACAGAGGCAAGGGTGAAACAAGTACTTCGAGTGTGAGAAAGCTTCAGCAAAGGTGGGTAGCTCGTGGACTATGGTTCCTTTCCTGGGGTGAAGGGAAAACTGGAAGGTGGATGCACCAAAAGGCACCGCCGAGCCACGGGGCCGACAGTTAGAGACGTCCCACTAAAACACACAAAGCGACACGATGACTGCTTGCCTTGAAGCTCCCTTGCGGAGCCTCGATGATAGCAAGGATCCTGCTGTTGTTGTGCGGCACCTCTCTACATCAGGGAGGGCCCTTTGTACCATAAAAAGGTTGACACTCAGGCTGCAAGCAGGGTGTCATATGATGCCCAGCGATCCTGCTGCTCAAACGCGCTGGAGCCATCGAGCGCGTCACTGCCAGGCCTGACAGCCCTGGCTGCCCCCACACATTTCTCATCAAAGTCTTTCTCACCACCAGCTAAGCCGCCTTCCAGCGGCCATGTGCCGGCACCGCCCACCCCGCAGCCGCTGCAGCCGCAGCTCCCGCACGCTATGCCGCTGCCGCCGCCACCAGCGGCGCCCATATCATCGTCAACCTCCTCCTCCGTGCATGTTTCTGCCGCGTGGACCGAGACCAGCAGGCGGCCCCCTCCATCCACACTGCATGCAGCCAGCGGCGTTGACGCCAGCGCGAGCCGCTCCAAAAACAGCTCCTCGAGCCGCGCGTGCTTCACGGCCTCGCCCGCGCCGCCGTCAAGGCTGAGGGACCGCCGCAGGCGCGCCGCGGGCGCTGGCATGCACAGCGCGGCCGCCGCTGCTGCGGCAGAGTCGTAATCGGCGGATGACAAGGCGGTAGAGGCAGGCATTTGGTCGCAGGGGTCCTGGGGGTGCGCGCAGGAGGGCGGCGGTCAGGGTTCACGTGAGACGAATCAAGCGCCAAGCTGAGTTGGAAGCCAGACTCTCCATGCAACGGGCTGCATGTGAGCAGGGCAGACTGGGCGTGGCGGTCGTTGCAGCAGCAAGCGGGGCGCTCTGCAGCGCGCGCCGCACCATGAGGGGGTGCTGCTGCACTGACACGAGGCCCTTGAAGGGCGGGATCACGAGACCGCCGCCGGGCAGGAAGGACCCCGGCATGCCGCACGCGTCCACAGTGCCTGCGTCACTGCCGCAGCTGCCCCCGCAGCTGGTGCTGAGGCTGCCGCCAAAGCTGCTGCTGCTTGTGGTTGTCTGGCGATGCAGCGTCCGTGGCGACCGCACGTGGAAATGGTGGTGCTGTTGCTGCTGCCGAGCGAGGTGCTGGTCCGTGCACAAAGGGGCAGGCGGCAGCGGCGGCTCTGGCAGGCCAGCTGCCGCGAGCACCTCACGGAGTGCTGCTTCGCGGGCCTGTTGCATGCATGTGTGCATTGGGTGCATTGGGACACACAATTATGTTGAATCCATTGTGCGCTGTAAACGGCACAGAAAAATGAAGCTGTCCCAAAACCAAGCGGCCTCTCAGCTGGATGTGTGTCCAGCCGAGTCCCGGCTGCTGCTCAGCGCGAAGGGCTCACAGGGCCGCGCACCACAGGGCGGCCTTCCTGTACTCACACAGAGACACGCACCTGCCATGCCACCCGCTCGCACGCGTGCGCCTCCCGTGCGGCGTCCGCCTCCAGACGCAGCTGCCGCCGCTGCCGCACGAGCACGCGCAGCTGCGCCTCGAGCACGCCCGCGCGCCGCGCACCGACGAGCGCCGCCTCCACGGCCCTGTGCAGGCCGCCGCTGCCCGGGTCCAGGCCCAGCTGCTGGCACAGGAGCTCCCGCTCCGCGCGCAGCTGGCTGAGGCCGCGCCCCAGCTCCGCGCGGTCGTGCGCCATGTCGCGGCGCGCCTGCAGCAGCGTCTCAAGCTGGTCGATCAGGAGGCCAGAGTCGGTCTCCGCGCGGGTCGCACGCTGCGTGGGGGGTAGGGGGACCATGCGGCGGCGAGGAGGGTGGCGTTGGTGGGTGTCAGTTTGAATGGAGCGGGCGCGAGCACGTCAGCAGACTGTGGCACGGAAGGGCCGCTGCGGCGGCACCACTGGCCGCATGAGAGCCTCACCCTGCTCCACTGTTCGTTGTCTGAACCGCGCTCCCGCAGGCGCTCCGCCTCGCCGCGCAGCACCTGCGTACGCAGCAACAGACAAGGGGACCAGCTTGAGTGGGCGGGCAGCCCAGCAGGCGCTCCCACCCGGGCACACGGGGCCTGGATGGAGAGCACGCCCGCTGCATCATCGGATAACACGTGTCGGCGTTGTGCACGCACAGCATGCTGGGGACGTGCAAGATGGAAGCGGTGAAGATTGCGTCGCTGATTGTGCATCCCTCTCATCCCAGAAGATCTCGCTTTACCTCGGCTATTCGCTGTTTTGCCGCGAGCGCGTCACGCGCCATGGCGAGAGCACCCTCAACCATGCTCCAGGGAACCAACGTGTCGCCCGCCATCCTGCCAAGCCCGCTGCCGCGCCGCTGTGGCGCCGCACGCTGGCGAGGCGCGCCACCGCTGTTGCTGCCGCTACCGCTGTTTGCGGCCAGCTCGGTGCCCGTCCAGCACGGAAGCTCGAAGACAGACGTTCCCTTGCTCAGATGACCGTCGACAACGCCGAAACGTTGCATGTGGATATCAGCACTACCCTGTCACGGCCTGCTCCCCCGGCTGTGATGGTGGCCTCGGCACCTTGACGGACTGCCCGAGGTAATTATGTACTTATTTCAACCGATACCATTTGCCTCAGCGGGCGAAGATGCGGTGCTCAGGACACGCAGACTCGCGCCATCCTACGCAGTATTGTTGTGTTGCTAATTCGGCTCACAAGGAAGATTGATTGTCTAACTGAAAGGCTTGGAGTGCTGACACGTGCAACAGCCACCCGGGGGGCACGCCCATGGTAACCAGCCACTGATGAGCCACCCTGCCGGTCAGGAGTGGCCCCACCCAGTATGTGGTGGCCTAGGGCACCTGGAGGGCGCTAGCCCGTACCGTTAGCAGTAGGTATATGGTTGGGGGTTGAAGGACTACCGTATCACATCAACATGACCCAGGCACAGCCGCACGCCGATGTGTTGAACAACAGGCACCTGGGTGGCCCGAGCTGCCGCCGCAGTTAATTGTGAGCCCACCGAAAGTACCGGTAGCCCATCGTAGAAGATTGCAGGGCTGGGCAGAATGTTTACCAGCAGCAGCCGCCAGCATGTGGGCTCACGAGATGCACGGGTCAACAGGGGCTGCTCACACACAAAAGACCCCAAGGTCGTCAATGCAATGGGACCAAGTCATGGCCTCAGGGACGCCACAGCGTTCCCAAAAATCGAGCCGCTGCGGCGCTTCTTCTCCTTGCCCTGCGCATCCTTCTCTCCCCCTTCCTGCTTCCTGTCCCTTTGCTTGCCCCCGCCCTTTCCCTCGTCTCTCTTCCCATCCTTCGTCTCCCTCCCTTTTGCTAAGCCTGCAACCGCCGCCTCCTTCGAGGGCCGCGCCACACCCGTGCCGACACCGCCGCCGCCGCCGCCGCCGCCACCGTCATCGCCTTCGTCACCAGATTTGTGCCGCATTGCACGCCCATGCGCCTCCGTCTGCGACGAAGAAGGCTTGGCGGCGGGCGTGGCGCCGCTGACCGGGCCGAGCCTGGAAAGCACCGACAAGCGGCGCGGCGCCTCTGCAACTGATGGCGCCGCTTCAGCAGCCGCCGGCCCCAGCTGATGCTGTTGCTCCTGCTGCTTGCGGCCCCGCTGCTGGCGCCCAGTGCCTGCTGCGCTGGCGCTGTTGCCTGGGTCAACGCCAGGAGCAGTCGCCGGCCTGCTGCTGGGTGCCGCGGCGCCCTTGGCGCCGGCGGCCGGTCGCCCCGAGCTGCCCGCTCGCGCAGCAGGTGGCGGCCGCTGGTGCTCCTCTTCCTGCTGCTCATGCTCATGCTGCGGCTGCTGGTGCTGTGCTGCGATGGCGACAGCGCTGAGGCGGCCGCGACTGTGCACTGGCGCCTGCTCCGCCTGCACCTCGTCCTCGTCATCGTCCTCGCTGGCGAGCCCCGCGTCTGCCCAGCTGTCGTCATCATCTGATTGGCGCGCAGCCCGCCGCCCTGACGCCCCGCGGCCCCCGCTCGCCCCCGCTCCTACATCTGCCGCTGCTGTTCTCAGGCCGCCACCCCCGACGTCCCCGCCGCCCCGGCCGTCCCCGACAATGGTGCCACCTCTGTCGCCGAGGCGCTCCAATACTGATCGCCGGGGAGGCTGCTGCTGCTGCTGCTGCTGCTGCTGTTGCTGCTGCTGCTCTGGTGGCGGCGAGGCATCCTTCTGAACCTCCTCCCCCACCTCCTCTTCGTCCTCCTCCTCCTCCTCCTCCTCATGCAATACCTGCTCCTCCTGCGCTGCCTCTGCCCAAGGCTGCCCAACTCCTCCGCTGACGCCCTGCTGTACCTCCTCGTCAGGTGGCTGCCGCTGCAGCTGCCGCATGGCCACCAAGCGCGCACCCGCTGCCTCTGTCCTGGGAGGCAGCACAGCCGCGATCTGGGCCTTCTCAGGGGAGAAGACAATCTTTTGCCGCTTGCCGCCGCCATTTGTGGCCTTCGCCACTTCGCTGCCTGCCTCAGGTTGCAGCCGCTTTGGGCCTGGCGCTTGCGACAGGCGCGCTGGCGAGGCCTCAGCCGCCCTGTTGGCTGCCGCAGAGACCTGCGGCTGCCCTGCCTGCTTGTGGTGTGTCGCAAGGCCTGCCGACCCTACCGCACCAACCTCGCTGCCATCCTGGCCTTGCGGCCCCGCACCTTCACTCCCCTGCTGCTGCTGCTGCTGCTGCTGCTGCTGCTGCTGCTGCTGCTGCTGCTGCACCAGCGGCGGCGGTTGCACTTGCTGATGGCCATCATCATCATGGCCTTCCTCCCCCAGTTCCTTGAGCTCCTCAGTTGACTGCAGCTGCTGCTGTTGCTGTTGCTGCTGTTGCTGCTGCTGCTGTTGTTGCTGCTGCTGCGCCGTCTGCCTCAACACCTGCGCCTGCGTCTTCTTCGCCGCCGCGTCCTCGGACACTGTACGCCGCAGCTGCCGCAGACGCGCGGCCTGCAGCGCCGCAGACGCGGCGGGGGCGCGCTTGCTGGTGAGGCCCGCGCCTAGCAGGGCCCCAAGCAGCAGCCCTGGCCGCGCGCTGACCACGCCCTGCGCATTGGCAGCAAGGTACAATTGTGATCCAAGGCGGCGCAGGGGCATTCATCGAACGGGCAACCGACGCAACGCGTCACCTGCACCTGCACCCCTATCTGGATTCCCGCTACGAGCAAGAAGGGCTTTTGCAAAGAGCCCCGACAAGGGTCATCGCGGCTGCCGCGGTCGCCCACCGTTCTCCGTGCAACACGCCCAGACGCGACCCGCCGCAGCCCCGCCACACCGCCAACACCGCGCCCCGCGAGCGCGTGCCCCAGCGCCGCGGCGGCCGAGCGGCCGCCGCCGTCCTCGTCCCCGCCATCGTCCTCCTCGTAATCATCAAAGTCCTCATCAGCCCCCACAAGGTTGGCGTCCAAGGGCTGAAGCGCCACCATGCCCGGCACGCGTTGCGGCGGCTCGGCGGCGTCACCGCCCACCCCATCGCCGGCACCCTCCTCCTGTCCAGCTGCTGCGTGTGCTGCGCCCCCAGGCCCAGCCTGGGGGCCGGCCGGGACTGCCTCACCCGCGGCTGTGACCCTCAGTCGGTAGCCAAAGACCTGGGCCACCTGCCAGGGGCCGGACGGTGCAATGCGGTTTGTGAGCGCTAGCCGAGGCTGTGAGGACGCTGTTGCAGGACCACGGACCATGGACAATGCGCATAGCTTGACCTGGGGTTACGTCGCTGCAATGCACAGCCAACTGACCATCTGGTGCAGGGGTGCCTGCTTTCTATGCTGTCATAGCAAGGACTGAGCCTGCGTGCGGCCAGCAGTACAGCTGCCGTTCCCCATCTAGCATGAACAACCACGTACACAGACACAAAATGGAGATGCAGAGCAGCACACGCCCGCGTGCACACACACATGCACACCACACAACAACACAGAGAGAGAGCATGTGCGCCCCAGGCGCGCACCTCTCTGAGCAGCGAGGTGCACAACGCGAGTTTCTGGTCCTCTGCCGCCTTCAGGGCCACGCGCGCCACCGACGGCAGCCCCTTGCTGGCCGCGCGGTGCAGCTGTGGCCGCAGGGCAGCTGCACCCGCGGCGGCTAGGCTCTGCGTGGCGGCGCCAGCGGCGGCGGGCTGATTGCTACTACCACCAGGGACGCATGCAATGCACACAACCTGCAAGTGCTGGCACTCTTGCTGCTGCGATGCCAATGCTCGTGCATGTGGCGTATAAACTGCTATGCGATCTCTTGGTACCATCATGAGAGGCTGCCTGCGGTTCATGTGCACCCCCCTTTTTGCAGGGCCCAACCTGATGCGCCGCACGCGCCGCGTTGCGTGCGACCTCGCGCTTGTTGTTGCTCTCAACGTTGCGCAGAAAGTTGTGCAGGAATGTAGTGTTGGCGGCCTTGCGAGCCACACCGTCCTCATCTATGTCATATCATAGCGTCATGAGCAAGCCGCGGACGTATTGGCCATCGGGCCGGGCGCTCGGAGCCGTTGTTTTGTCGTCGGCTGCAGCGCAAGTCAGCAAGCGCAAACGCTGCATGGCGACGGCACAATCTTTCAGGCTGCTCGCCGACATCGACCGCACCTGGCTGACTCATGGGTCCCCCTTTATTCGACAGATTCGCTTCTGGAGCACCCTCCAGCCCCAATTGATCGCCAGATCAGCGCATGTGATTTGCGTGAAACCTGCCTTTAATTTGTGCCAGCCAATTTCTCAGCCACGTCTTGCTGATTTCAATAATGTGACACTACCCGTATCCTGCTCCCGCACAGTGGCACTTGCACCATCAACCCACAAACCGTACATGTTTTCAGCCGCTGCATGCAATCACATTGTCAATGTTATTGCTTGTAGACCTTTTGGTAATCGACCACACATTCATCCACGGGGGGGCGCTGAAACGCGATCTCTCACCCCCAGAGCCTTGCACTTGAGGCTCGCTCGGGGCCCCAGATGACGGAGATCGCGGCTCGAGGTTGCCCTTTAGCGAGGGCGGTCCACCGCACGCCGATTGGTGCAGCGACGCTCCCCTTAGTTCCGACACGGCGTGTAGCAATGCCCGCCGCCCTCCGCACACCCGGGGCGCGTCCCGCCTCGCGCGCCCTGCCGCCGCCGTTTGCTGCTGGCAGCCGCACGCAGCGCCGCGTCGCGTGCGGTTCAGCCCAGCCAGCCGCGGGCGTGGGCATCTTCCCCGCCGGGCAGCGGCAGGCGCGCGTCGACCTGCCGGCCCTGATGGTGGAGATCCGCGCAGACGCCTTCGCCTCAGACCCCCGCGCCGCAGCCGCCGGCGTCAACGCCGCCGTGACCGCGGGCGCGACGGCGGTCGTGCTGGGCGCGGGCAGTGGCGACGGCGGCGCGGCGGCGCTGTACGATGCGGCCGTCCAGCTCAAGGAGCTGCTGCGTGGCCGCGCGGCGCTGCTGCTGCTCGACCGCACAGACATTGCATCCGCGGTGGATGCTGAGGGCGTGGTGCTGTCCGCGGCGGGTGAGGCGACGCGGGGCGCGGCGCAGGGGCATACAGGCCGCGGGCGGTGGCTGCAGCTCGGCTGCGCCGACGGGGCAAGCGTGGGAAAGGCTGGATTTTGGGGGCTGAGCATATGCGATGCAACAGAGGATGCCGTGGCAGTCAAGCTCGCTGCCAATCAAACAGCGCTGATGCAGCTGCTTGGACGTGCTGTGGCCGTTCTTTCTCCTCCGTCCCATCTGTTCCCCGCCGCCCCTCGCAATGGTCGTCGTGTCACACGCATCCCCAACGCTTCAACGGCCCCCTCAACCCCTGCCGCCACTCGCCGCCGCGCCGCCTCGCGGCAACCCCGCCAGGCGTCCCCGTCGTCGTCGCGCGCAAGATGCTGCAGGGCAGCGCCACCCTGGTCGGCCAGATTGCATCAGACGCCAACGCCGCCGCCGCCGCAGCAGCAGACGGCGCAAACTTTGTGCTGCTGCGCGGCCCAAAGGGCGGCCTGCCGGACGCGTCCGAGCTCGCGGCCGCAAAGCGGCGCCAGCGCAGCGGCACGGCGATCCCCGTCATTGCGTCCGCTGCCGATGTCGGCGGCGCGGCCGCCGCGGCACTGGCGGAGTCGTCCGACGGCTTCTGCCTGCCGCTGGGCCAGCTGGTGCGCGCGGCGGGCGGCGGCGCGGCGACGGTCGAGGCCGCGGTCGGGCTGCTGCTGCGCGCGC